AATGCTTAAATAAAACAGCAAAAAAAGGTTATCTTCAATTTTTCTTTAACCTGTGATATTGAATAGTTCTTTAGTGGGAATGACACTGATGAAGATCGACATTGTAGTCGAAATACGTATATGTCATGGATACCAAAATTAATTAAGTGGAATTAATTGGAAGATAACCTTTTTTTGCTGTTTTATTTGCTCAAGTAATTTATTTTAACTTCTTTAAAATATTTCTCAGAATATTAACGGCATACCCTTTAAAATTATCCTAGAATTCAGTTGAGAATTGTATTGGAATTCGGTTCAGCATAATCTTACATACATTAAGAAAACTTCCATAGAATTCCCATGCAGTTTACCAGATAATTCTATTGAAACTGTACGCAAAGTTTGATTCCTTAGAACACTTTGCGGAATAGATCACATCATTCGAGCAGTATGATTAATTCACTTGGAACTCAGAATTCTTTTCCTTCAGTTTCTCCTCAATGAAATTTTCTAAGAAAAATTGTCTTGAATTGCTTCATCAGAATTTCCGTTGATTCTAGTCAAAATTATTTTATATTATCCACAAAATTTCTTTGCAATCTTCATCGAAATTCTCTTAAATATTCTTCAAACTGTTAGAATCAAGAAAATTTGGTCATTAGCCACGAGATTTTTTACCAGAATCTTAATTTTTTAAATCTACGATGTTACCATTTGTAAAGCTCTGTGTTTGCTTCTGTTTTCGCATATCTTGGGAGGTTTTCTAAATTTTGAAATGTATTGAAAAAAGTCGAAAAATCTTAAGCTAAAAGAGTGTTTAAATAAGGCTTGTTCGCGACAAAATCTGGACACATAAGTTTTGGAATAAAACAAATTTGCTGTCAGTTTAATCCAAAATATGTATTTATTTATTTGTGCATCGTAAATCATTAAAAAAAAAACAACTTATCATAACTTAATTAGGCTGCATAAAAATTGACGAGCTTTTGAGTTTACTCCAGACATGGAGACATTTCTGAAATCGATTTGGTTGCTTTTGTCCACGATTTTCGAAATTTGTTTGTTGTTTGCACTGGGAGAGCTCTCTGGAAGGGAGCCCAGTATTGCTGGATAGAACGTAATTCCGGTCACTTAATTGGATCCGCCTTCTTCGGTATAATATGGACTCTATTCGTTTCATTTCGTAAAATATTCTCACGTGCTCATGTATTTTGCCCGTCACATTCTGCTTATCATTGCGGTTCGGCACAGTTTTCACATTGAATAACTTCCTTCCTTCCTTGTCGATGCTTCGAAGTACACTGGAGTCGCTTTTTACGTGGTTTTTTTACGCGGATTTCGGAATTTACACGGTTTTTTTTACGCGGATTTCGGAATTAACGCGGTTTTTTTTACGCGGATTTTGGTTTTTTTACGCGGATTTCAGAATTTACGCGGTTTATCGTAATACACTAGAGTCGCTTTTTACGCGGTGTTTTTTTACACGGTCTTTTTTTACGCGGTTTTTTTTACGTGGATTTCGGAATTTACGCGGTTTTTTTACGCGGATTCCGGAATTTACGCGGTTTTTTTTACGCGGTACGTATCACCCGTGTAAAAAGCGGCTCCAGTGTATGCTCGAAAGTTGGCGACATTTTTATTTTACGAGCAACAGTACGTACTGAAAGATCTTGCCTCCTCCTTAAATTTGTTTCCCCTTCACGTCCTTTTGGTGGTTCCTCAAATCCGTGTTTGTTCCGCTTCCCGTCTTGCTACTTAGCTGTTGTCAAACGAGTATCTAACGATTTTAAAATGCTGTGAACAGTGCTTGCGGGAAAACCAAGCTTTTTGGCAAGTTTTCTGATCGAGAGATCCAGATTTTCATTGCGGCTGCACACAATTGCATTTTCTTCTTCTTCTTTCCTTTATTTAACGTCGGTCTCTGTTCCGCAAACTAGTGCCAATCACCGACGGACATCGATTGCCATCCATTGACGGCAATCGAATGTGCAGGAAGGCAGCTTCCACACCTCCGTAGGATATCGCACCCATTCAAAAACACACATGGACCGGGACCAACGGCTTTACTTCCCCTTCCGAAGGAAGACATGACCAGAGATGTTTATGCCTCAGAAAAATCCCACCGACCTCGGCTGGGATTGAACCCAGACCCATTGGGATGAGAAAGCAGTCACGCTTACCACTACATCACCGGCGCCGGCAATTGCATTTTCGCCGGCAATTGCAATGTAAACAAAGGTTGTATTTTCAGAACAAACAGACATACGTCCACCAATCTGCGAAATATTTCACTCGGAACAGGGTCGTTTGTTTGTTTGAACCAATACTTGCCGAATCCGACCATCTTGCCCCGCATAGACTTTGCAGATTCGACCTTTTGTCCAACCATTTCTTCTTGATTCCTCCACTATAAAGACTAGATCCTCAACTGCCATAGGTTTCACCTCCTCGAACCATTTTGTTCGTCGCGTAAAGTGGACCCTAAACGATTGCTTTTATTGGCAATAATCGTATTGTCAATACATTCTATATTGAAGTCAATACATCGAGATTGACAATATTTCTGAATTCACATCATCAATATTATTGTCAATAATTCCCCTTCGCGTCAATATATTGATGCGTGTGGGGTTTGCTTATGAGTTGTTAGGTACTCACGCGACCAGCGTTTCCAGAAAGTATCCATTTGATATTGCTCCTGGCCCCAGTTGCTGCGTAGTGCGACTGCTTCTTCCGTTGGTTAAGCTGCTGGTTGCCGTACGCCGGAGGAAACGGTTGGGAGTGAGGGATTCCGCCTCCTTGGAATCCAGAGGGAGGTACGTCAGCCGTCCCTCATTAGCTGCTTCCATCGCTGACTTGACGGAATGCACCATTCGTTCCCACGATCCACCCATATGCGGCGCGCTCAGAGGGATGAATACCCATTTCGTGTTTGTGTTGGTGGAGGTTTCCGCCATCGCTCCGTAGATCTTCCGTATCTGTTCCCGTAGTACTCCATCGGCTCCTCGGAAGTTCGTCCCGTTGCCGGAATGGATTTCCAGAGGCGCTCCACGACGGCTCACGAATTGACGCACACTTATGATGCAGAATTCAGTTGAAAGAGTGTGTACAACTTCGACGTGGACAGCACGGATCGTCAAGCATGTAAATAGTGCGATCCACCTTTTGGCGTTGCTCCGACCGATCTTAACAAGGAGTGGTCCGAAGAGATCCAACCCTAGACAAGACATTTGATAAAATAAAATGATACACCTTTTCCTTGTTTGCTACTCACATACACCTTGATTGATTCGTCGGTATCACATCTTGATTGTTACATATACCCTGCATGATTCGTCGATTTGACAGGTCGGTTTTCACATGCTACAGATCAGATACACCGCTTTTGTTTTGCAGTGAAGATATGCGGTAACTCAGAAAGAAATAAGTCTGTTGCGCTGGGATATGCAGAAGCAAACTGTTGTGACTCATCAAGCTGGGTGGCTGCATCTAAAAAAATAATAATAATATTTTTTTTAATAATTATATAATTTTAAGTTTTTTAAACATACCTTGCAGTAGCTGAATCCCGTTAAAATCAATTCTGAATTTACTTAGAAATTTGACGCATCTTCTGATAGAAATAGATTGCTTTGTTTTTGCACATATGACGTTTCACAGTGAGCGTATCTGCAGTTTTTGTGTTATCTCGCGTAACATTTGAAAAGGGCCTATGTCCAAAATGTAAACAATCCAGAAAATGAATTGTTAATTTTTCCGCCAGTATTTAATTCCTATATAAATAAATTGAAGTATTTTAGGCATTTATATTGTTCACAATAACAATAGTAACTATATCTCAGTACACAACATCCAAAACATGCGAAACGTTTTCAAAAATACATGAAAATCGATAAAAATTTAATATCACAGTAATAAGCCTTTTTGTGAATCTTTAAATGGTTAGGCCCTTTTTTTAAGCCGTTGTGCTTGTCATCATAAATTGTAGGCCCTTTGCTAAGCCTTTTCTTAACGTCAAATAAATCATCGGCCCTGCCTCAAGCAGTAGGGCCTAGTTTTGATTTGAAATTTTTCAATCATCGGCCCTTCTACGTCGCTAGGTTTATGAATGGAACCTCATCGAACGAAAAAAAATATATGTTAGGCCCGAGGTTAGGCCGTTTTAGCATGAATGATGGGAACAATTTCGTGGATCGGCCGTTTTTAAAATCAAGTTATTTTTAATGATTTTTATCGATAATGCGGAACATTCCTATACGACTGGTAGCTAATTACCAGTGCTACAGAATGGTATCAAAAATCGGTTTGTTTACATTTTGATCATAGGCCCTATTCAAATGTTACGCGAGTTATCTTCAAATGTTGACAGTTAAGTCATGTTGACAATAAAATGGTGTAACAACATCATTTTAAAAACAATGAAAGAAGACTACATTACATTAAATATATTTTCCATAATTCATTTAAATTTTAAACCTTGTTTTTTTGCCGATTTGTTTATTTTTGCGACTTATGTCATTTTGACAAGTTATGCTTGAATTACTCACTCATGAATTTCTGTTAGGTAATTGTAAAACAAAAACAAAACCTCAGATGATACCCCCCCCCCCCTAATCTCTTGAACGTCCTTTCGAAAAGCACTCACACTTTCGGCTTGCTTTGATAAATGTTACTTTTGACACTTTCGCAACTTACTTTTTTAGGATACAGAAATTCATTAGTATAAATAAATTTAAAAATATAAAAAATCCCAATCAAATCACTGATCGGAAAATTGATTCTCATGATCAATCGCTAGCGCGTGAACGTGTAGCAGAGCAACCGTGGTGGGAGTTTAGAATAATTGGAATGTCTCACAACAAGCGAACTGTCGTCGCCCCTTTGCATCAATCGCATCCCGTTTGGTGTCCAATATTCGCTAAATTTCCATCCATCTATGTAAACTGAACAAAAAATACCTCCGATATTGCACTTGGTTATATTGTGTTTGCTAAATTTTCTTTTCCTTATTCAAATTGTAGATGACTATGGACGAGAAGTACGTCGAGTCCATCTGGTCGCTGCTGAAGAATGCCATCCAGGAGATTCAGAAGAAAAACAACTCGGGTCTTTCGTTCGAGGAGCTGTACCGCAATGCGTACACCATGGTCCTGCACAAGCACGGTGAACGGTTGTACACTGGGCTCAAGGACGTCGTTACACAGCACTTGGAGACGAAGGTACGGGATGAGGTGCTGCGGAGTTTCAACTGCAACTTTCTGCAGACGCTCAATCAGTCGTGGAACGATCACCAGACGTCGATGGTGATGATCCGGGATATTCTGATGTACATGGACCGGGTGTACGTGCAGCAGAACGACGTGGACAATGTGTATAACCTAGGGCTGATTATATTTCGTGATCAGGTAGGGAAAGGGTTTGATGCGCTTGATGGAGTGGTTTGACTTTGTAACTATTACTGTTTTAGGTCGTTCGCTATGGTCGGATTAGAGATCACATGAGAGAGACACTGTTGAATATGGTTATGTGCGAGCGGAAGGGCGAAGCAATTGATCACATTGCGATCAAGAACGCCTGCCAAATGTTGATGGTTCTCGGTATCAACAGCCGTTGGGTATACGAGGAGGACTTTGAGCGGCCGTTCCTGACCCAGTCGGCAGCCTTCTATAAGCTTGAATCTCAGAAGTTCCTCTCGGAGAACAGCGCCAGTGTTTATATCCGACGGGTCGAGGCACGCATCACCGAGGAAGCCGAACGGGCAAAACTGTATCTGGACGAGAGCACGGAATGTCGGATCGTGGAGGTAGTAGAGGACGAGCTCATCAAGAAACACATGCGCACGATTGTGGAGATGGAAAATTCCGGTGTGGTGTACATGCTGAAAAATACAAAGACCGATGATCTGGCTTGCATGTACAAGCTGTTCTCCCGGGTCAATGGTGGATTGAAAACTATTGCCGATTGTGTGTCGCAGCACTTGCGTTCGATGGGCAAGAATTTGGTGAAGGAAGAAGACAGCGGAACCAATCCGATTACGTTCGTGCAAAATCTATTAGATCTGAAGGATCGATTCGACCACTTCCTGCACCACTCGTTCAACAATGACAAAATCTTCAAGAACATGATTTCGTCCGATTTTGAACATTTCCTCAACTTGAACAGCAAATCGCCGGAATATTTGTCACTGTTCATCGACGACAAGCTGAAGAAGGGATGCAAGGGGGTACGTTTGCTTGTGGCTTGGAGTTGTAGAGTTTTTATTTTCAACGTTATTGGCACTAATTTCAGATGTCCGAGCAAGAAATTGAAACGATATTGGATAAAACGATGGTATTATTCAGATATTTACTAGAGAAGGACGTGTTTGAGCGATACTACAAGGCACATCTAGCGAAACGATTGCTACTGAATAAGTCGGTCAGCGATGATTCGGAGAAGAATATGATATCTAAATTAAAGGTATGATGATGTTTTGACGTTTAGCTATGCCCAGGCAAATTAATATCGTCCTTTTTCGCCATTGTAGACTGAATGCGGTTGTCAATTTACCTCAAAATTGGAAGGCATGTTCAAGGACATGTCGGTGTCTAATACGGTGATGGAGGAATTCAAGAATCATATTAGCAACGATCCAACCAACGCTCTGGATGGAGTAGAGCTATCGGTGCGAATTCTCACCACCGGCTTTTGGCCCACGCAGGTTCGTTTTGTTTGTTTGTAGTATTTAGATGGACACGCAATTAGAAAGGGAATGACATTAAATGTTCTTAGAGCCATCATGTATATTTTTTGGACAAAGCCTAATCAATGATATCGATTTCAGTCAGCGACGCCAAACTGTAACATACCGCTTGCGCCCAGGCGAGCATTCGAAACGTTCAAACGTTTCTATCTGGCTAAGCACTCTGGACGACAGTTAACGCTACAACCACAGCTAGGTAAGTACCTTGTTCTTGGAATCAATTCAATAGCGATGAAAACCCCTTCTTCTCCTCTCGATTGGCGCACCTAGGCACAGTTTACATGAACGCAGAATTCTACGGTGTCAAAGTGGTGGTCGAAAAGGAACCCGCAGAAGGTGGTTGCAGTAGTACTGCTCCCGCTACTACCGGATCGTCGGCTCCGCCTATGGCCACCGGTGCTCCCAGAAAGCACGTCCTACAGCTCTCCACTTATCAGGTTATTCTAGACACCGGTTGTAAACCCCAATAGTGCCCCAGTATTAATACGATTTTCTTCAATTTCAAGATGTGCGTTCTGATGCTATACAACAACCGGGAACGTCTGACGTACGACGAGATTCAACAGGAAACGGACATCCCCGGTAAGGATCTGATCCGGGCGTTGCAGTCACTGTCGATGGGCAAACAGCAGCAGCGGTTGCTGGTGCGAACACCCAAGACGAAAGACATCGAGCCGACGAATACGTTCTACGTGAACGATGCCTTCGTGTCGAAATTCCACAAGTAAGTTCGCTTCTGCGAATCATGATGATTGTCCAATGTAAAACATCAACATTATTTTTTGCAGAGTTAAAATCCAAACGGTAGCGGCCAAGGGCGAGTCGGAACCGGAACGGAAGGAAACACGCAGCAAGGTGGACGAAGATCGAAAACATGAGATCGAGGCGGCGATCGTAAGAATAATGAAGGCGCGAAAGAAGATGGCTGTGAGTATATCAATACTCAACAATAATAATCCAAATCGCCAAAATACTGTAACATTTTCCTTGCATTATAGCACAATCTGCTGGTGTCGGATGTGACCACTCAGCTGAAGAGCCGGTTCATGCCCTCGCCGGTGATCATCAAGAAGAGAATAGAGGGTCTGATCGAGCGCGAGTATCTGGCACGAACGCCCGACGATAGGAAGGTCTACGTCTATTTAGCTTAAAACCGCTAGCCGAACTGGGTTGGGAGTTGAATCGAAAAAGAGAAGCAGGATAAAAGGATTACAGTGCTGCACAGCATTCAACATCTGTTACACACGAATACACACTCACACTATCACAGGAATCACCCATTCACTCATACACAAACTCATAGCCACGCGCGTACATCATTCACACTTAACATACACAGGTGCGTCGAGCGATTAAAACAACAACCTGGCAAACAAACTATGTGTTATTCATTACACAATAGAGACAACATGAAAGTTAACTGGCCTGTGTGCTTTTGTGGTTGTACCAACGAAAGCGCCACTGGCCCGCAGCATTCGAAACTAATTCTATGAACTTCTTCTCAAAAATATATGTAGGTATCGCTCATTCACAACATTTCGCAACATACAAGAATTGTTTTTGATTTTGCTATACTTTGTCTGATTTGTCCCCCTATCGTGATGCATTCGTTAATTTTTTCTAATTTAATTTTGTTGTACAGAAAAAAAAACCTGCTTGCCGTGAGAATGATTTTTCTTTGTATTCAAATCATGCCTGTTGCTTTGCAGTGATATTGTCTTTGTCCAGAAAGTGCGTTTTTGTCCTAATTATAAAGAAACCCACTCTGTGAAGAATCACTTCTTGGAAATAATAACAGATCCGCCACATATTTAAGACGAATTTTCAAAGTGAATTAGGTACGCACTCCAGCATGACGCGATGAAAAGCCAATAAAGAAGGAATCGTTTTAATAAAAAAAAAAAACAAATGAGATAAAGATACCTTTTTCAGTAAGAGAGCTAAAACGGCGAAGATGAGAGACGAAAGCATATTATATAGTAATTAAAGTAATTTAATTATTAAATTTGAAAACCCCCTTATTATAAACATAGAGATCAAACAAACAACAGAAGCGAAAGGAAAAACAACAATAATAGTGTTTGTATGCTTTGATAACGTTCGTTCAATCCGAAATACCTTTTGAGACCAAAAGTCTCTAGGTCTGATATCATCATCTTATGTATATTACGTAACGGCAGTTGGAAATCGGTCAGTGGTTTTTGATAGGAGAGCAGCAATTGCGATTACCTATTAATCCAGTGCGTCTGTGTTCAATTTAAGCCGAGGTCGTTGTGATTTTCTGAGATGGTAAATTCCTGGTTATGTCTATCTTCGAAAAGGAATCAAAGCTCTGCTTGTGTGTTGATGGGTACGACATTGCCTCCCTTGCCGTTGATGTCTGGTACATATCTACGAATAGTCATGAAAATCAGAAACTTCGCTATAGAAAAAAATCGTTTGAAACCCACAAAGGACTTCGACAAAACCATGGTCTTTCTTGCCTCCTATTCAACATTGCGTTGAAAGGTGTATCATGGAGCTAGGCGCCTTACAAAGGAGACACAAGGAAGAAGTGTTAGTGTTTATATAAACTATGAGCTTTGTGTATAGCAAGTTTTGCCATAATAGTTGTTTTTTTTACTTTATTATTGAGTTTTTAGTCAGTTGTGCTATAATACATGCTCCTCGTGTTTATTCGTGAAATTCCCATCAAAGATTGATGACTTGCTAAGGAATTCGTAACCAGCATAAACCTTCCGGTCGTATAAAACAGGTCCAAATCCGCCAGTATTTTGTTTTGTTTTGGCACTTTTTATGGCAAAATAGGTAACTTTTCGTGAGCATTTACGGCAAATAACTCACCAACACTAGCGTACCGAGAGTACTTGATCACCTAAACATACTTCCATCTTGATCATGGAGGAGGAATCTTCTTTATATAGTGTTATGCAACGTAGGCTTGAGCATGCGATCCTCAATAAATCCAGCCAGTTCATTTGCTTCGCTGACGACGAGCACAGTGTTACCAACAATCAATACGAAAGTAACGATTTTAAATGGATCAATGAAAAGGCAGAGGCTTTGACAGAACTGTGCTGTGGCTACCAGAGTATTTTACATTTGATCGTCCATATACAGTAGCGCCAAAAGCATGCTGTGGTGGGTTCAAAACTTGACCGTCTAAAATGATCAATTGGCTCACTACTTGACTAGCCTATTGGTCCCAAGCAAACGATTAACGCACCCCATTCTAGTCGAAATTCTAGTACTACGTTATGTTTGTTTTGATTCGCTATGAAAGTTTGACAGATAAAATGAGGGGTTATTGGTTTTCCTATGTTTCGAGGGGTGAATCGATTAGCTTGGGACCGAAGAGAGTACCAGCATAGAGGTAACTCTAAGACCACTGGGTCCCGAAGAAAATCATTATTATTTTTGGCTCACTCAGTACCAGAACAACGGTCCCAAGCAGTCCCAAGCTATTTCACTCACCCCTGCATGTTCTGCATGAATCCACACACCCCTGATGTTATCTGTCAAACTTTCATAGTGAATCAAAACAAACATAGTGTAGTAATAGAATTTCAACTAGAATAGGGTACGTTAATCGTTTGCTTGGGACCAATAGGCTACTAAAGTGGTGAGCCAATTTAAAATCGTTAGTTTCGTATTGATTGTTGGTACCAGAGCTGAGCCAAAAGGTTGAGCACGTTATTTCGGGACCTTCTAGTCTTAGAGTTACCTCTATGGTGTTACCAACCAGTGGAAACTTACGATTTTAAATTGGCTCACTCTGTACTAGCCTATCGGTTCCAAGTACATCGATGACAGTATCCTATTCTAGTCGAAATTCTAGTACTACATTATGTATGTTTTGATTCGCTGATAAAATGAGGGGTACGAGGATTTTCATATGTTTCGAGGGGTGGGACCGAAGATACTACCAGAACTGAGCCAAAAAGTTGAGCACTTTTCTTCGGGACCTTTTGGTCTTAGAGTTTCCTCTATGCCGTTTACATAGGTTTACATTATGCTGCTTACTTTTTAGTACAGTTCTAGCATAGAGGTAACTCTAAGACCAGAAGGTCCTGAAGTAACGCTGGTTCACTAGCGCTTGTGTACTAGAACCACAGACAAACAGACAACACTCGCAAGTTGTTCATCGAACAAGCATTTAACGGTAAATTTAAAAGTATGGTAGTTGGTAGTACCACCACCTGTGGCGCGCGTAGTCAGTTCCCTTGGGTTTGACGTTTACACACTACCGCCATCTGTTCAGCGTACTACCCACCACAGTGTACTCAACAGATGGCGGTTTTAGCCGAGGGGGGCGACACATCTAAATCTCAATTCTAGATGCTCAAAAAATCTCACCTTAGCGAATCAATCTTCGAAAAATCATCTTTCATTTCTCGCATCTACTTGCATCGCGCTTCATCTTTTTGCAGGAAATCTTCAAAATTGACATAAATCTTCCTTCTATGTACTCAGCGTGCGTGCAGCTAGCCACAGCAAAACACAATCTTTTCTGCATCATAGATAGAGTCGTCCCCCTCGGTTTTAGCGACGATGTTTTACAGTGAGAAATATTCTATGTGTTATGTCTGTTTGTCTGTGCTAGAACCATAGAGGTAACTCTAAGACTAGTAGGTCCTGCAGAAACGTGCTCAACTTTTTGGCTCAGCTCTGGTACTCTCTTCGGTCCCAAGCAAATCGATGCACCCCTCGAAACATAGGAAAATCCACGAACCCCTAATTTTATCTGTCAAACTTTCATAGCGAATCAAAACAAACATAGTGTAGTATGTACTAGAATTTCGAGTAGAATGGGGTACGTTAATCGATTTGCTTGGGACCAAAAGGCTAGTCAAGTAGTGAGCCAATTTAAAATCGTTAGTTTTCAACCGGTGGTTCTAGTTACCTCTATGGTTCTAGTAAACTAGCGCTAGTGAACCAGCGTATATGTAAACACCACATAAACGTTGGTAATTTTTTAGATATATTTAGTACACTCATGGGCTTGCGAAAAAATGGCACCAGCACATTGATTGCTCTTCTCCTTCATACCTACAACTTTTTCATAATTCCAAGTAAATCTATAAGCGTATCCCCTTTACAGTCGAAATTCTAGTACTATACTATGTTTGTTTTGCTTCGCCATGAAAGTTTGACAGGTAAAATGAGGGATTCATGGATTTTCTTATGTTTGCATCGGTGCATCGGGGTTCATCGATGAGCTTGGGACCAAAAAGTTGAGCACGTTTCTTCGAGACCTTCTGGTCTAAGAGTTACCTCTATAATATTGCCCTACATAATAGAAAAATCCCAGAATTTTAGATTAGTAAAAAAAAACTTCTCTTTACTTCTAAGTTAACTGCCACTGCAGAAAAATAAATGATAAGATGTTATTTTCTATTCAAAAAGCAACGGATTAACGTGATTATATTCCATTAATTATAGTGAAAACGGTAAAAATACATCTCAGGGCTGGTAGTGCTGATGCGATATAATAGTAGTGACTTTAGTGACTAAAATTACGGAAATAGTGACCAAATAGTGACTTGTAAATACTAAATAAGAAACCATTTATATAGTTACTTAGAAAAATACAGTTTGATATGTCATGGAACTTAAAATCAAATTTCATAAATTCCTCTAATTTAATCGAATCTCACAACGGAATCTCCTGTGAAGTGCATTTGAAGTGATTTGAATAATTTACTTTTGCTTACGTAGTACATGATGACTAGCAAATAGTAATTCTCATTTTTTATGATCTTGAATTTTATTCTGCGGTCGAAATCTTTAAATATTTGATATATCTAGGTAGATAACTTTGATAATTTGCTAAGAACTTTTCACAGAATTTATTCAGAATGATCTCAAGAACTTTTTTTAGAACTCCCCTTCCCTTAAACTTAGAGGCACATAAGCTTTTACAAACATAATATTGCATTCTTGAAATTTTTTGCAGAACAATCAACAATATTCTTGGAAATAGATTATTTTCGTAGTTGGGAATGCTTAACGTCAAATATCAGAATTAAAGTGGATAGATGAAGAGATGAAAGTAAAGAGCTTATAGTTCCGTTATAGTGTGGCAGTGTGAAAATTGTATATAGAAAGTAGAAAGCGAACAAGGGACAATTTTGAGGAAGGTACGAATAGGGTAGAGCATCTCCTTCTGGAGATGAACTAGCCAAAGGCTAAAAATCTCCTTAATAAAGGTTAAAAAAAAAATAGTGCATCTCCTTTACCAAGCTCATCCGTTAATGAGGGCTGGTGAGGGGTGTTTACCCCTGCCACCACTGGTAAAAGGGATGATCGTCGATTTGCCCATGTACCTCTGATGTGCGGAAACAGTTCTATCGATTGTTTCACACTCAAGTCGCCATCTGACGTAAACAACTACCCGATTCGTACCTTCCTCAAAATTGTCCTTTGCTCGCATTCTTCTTTGTATGTACAATTTTCACACTGCCGTACTAGAAAGGAACTATCAACTCTATAATTGAACCTCCTAATCGATCGTATAAAATTTCCACTTTTAATCTGATATTTGACGTTAAGCATCTCCGACTATTTTAATCGTTAAATTCACGCATGAAGTAATAACACATGATTAGTTAAAGCAGATTATTTTCGATTTTTAACTGATTCTTCTAGGAACTCCCTGAAGGCTCCTTCCATAAATCCATGCAATTAACCTCAGAAATTTCATAAATTTCTGCTTAGAATAATCTTGGACTTCTCCCTTGCATTCAATTGGAAATTCAATTCGTATTCTCCTCAGAATCCCCATAGTATTTCCTCAGAATTCTCAAAACAAAAATCCTTCACAAACTTTGAAACTCTTCTCAGAATTCCTTTGGGATTGAATCCTCAAAATTCGATTCCATTGGAATTCTTCTCGGAATTTATTTCGAACTCTTCAGAATTCGCTTGCAAGTATCGTCACAAATCACCCCAGAATTCTTTTAGAACTATTCGCAGAGACCATCTTTGGAGTTCACGGGATTTTCGTGGAATTTTCATCAGAGCCTTCTTAAGCAAAATTTCAGAGCTAATTTTGAATTCTTATTAGAATTTGACCTGGAATCCTCATCCAATCATCATAGAATTCTTCTCAGAACCCTCGTTAAAATGCACTGACAATTATATTAGAATTATTCCCAAAATTGTTTCGGAGCTGACTTTTGCGTCTCTAATAATTTAAACAATAATCAAAAGCGACGCTCGTATGTGTTAAGCCAAGTTTAACTATATAGGTAGATCTGGCTTAATATTTAAGCGGAGAAGAAGAAATTGGTCCTCAGAGTACTTAATTTTACATAAGACTTTCGTAGTCTGTTCTTTGGTATTCTTCTCTAATATACCTTGGTGTCATCCCTAGAATCCTTTAAAATTCTCTTAAAATCTACTTTGGATTTTTTAAAGTTCTTAATCATCCTTGAAAGACGTTTGAAAATCTATCACAGACAAATACCTTTGGAAAGTTTCCAAGGTTTACAATTTATTTTTTGGGAAAGGAGGTATATTTTTCCTGATTTTTTTAATCGAAATTGTAGGCATTTCCCAATAATTTTCCTGGTGTTCTAAAGTTTTGCGGTTCACTGGTCACCCTGGTTAAAATTTTCAATTTTTAACAGATATGTATATTTTGTTAAAACTACTGCAGACTGCCAAGTACCCCTTTTAAACATTTTGTTGATATTTTTGAATTTCGCTTTATTTTAGTAGTGAAAAAGTGACTTTAGTGACTATTTTTAGGGAAATAGTGACTTTAGTGACTTTTTGGTGTAAAAAGTGACTTTTTAGTGACTGGCTTCAAAATAGTGACCAAGTCACTAAAAAGTGACCTGCTACCAGCCCTGACATCTACCTTTCTTTTATGGGGCTTATTATACACGAAAAGAAAATCAATTATTTTATTCATGTATTTCACTTATACATTTTTGCCAAAACATCAGCCTTATATATTACATACGACAAACCACATAGGTCCTATAAGAATGCATAAAAGGTATGTGTGACCGCTTATACATTTCATTTGACACATGATCTTTATTAACTTTTTGCAACGCGTCTGCTTATTAGTTGACTTATACATTTTATGAATAATCAGCAATAGAAATTTGCCAAAAGGTGTAAGGAGATTTCTATCCGTGTACCATATAATCGCATGCCTACATCAGATTTCAGACCACAGTAGTGACAGAGTTACCTCTATGAACGTATCCCATTCTAGTCAAAATTCTAGTATACTATACTATGTTTGTTTTGATTCGCTAAGTTTGACAGATAAAATGAGGGTTTCCTGGATTTTCCAATGTTTCGAGGGGTGCATCGATTAGCTTGGGACTGAAGAGAGTACCAGAGCTAAGCCAAAAAGTTGAGCACGTTTCTTCGGAACCTTCTGGTCACCTCTATGGTGGCACCGGGTTTTCTCTGAAAAAGCATCTTTGAAATTTCACGCACCAATCTCATTACAGCCCCTTCACGTCAAAGCTATGGGCTCCGTTCACGGTTTTTTTAGATGCTGCGCCGTGCGATCTCACGAACACCACCTCACGAACGCTCGCGATTCGCGGAGGCTCTTTATTTACTCCCCAATCACCGTCGCCACTTGTGCCTTGAACGTAAACAAAGTAGTCAGTGATTTTTTCCTGTCTTCTACATTGCTGGGAAAAGATCCCAATTTTTGCAGAGTCTTTTGTCAAAGTGCTCTCCCACCTTGGATGTCCCGATATGGATTCAGGACTAGGGAGTTCTTCGGTTGAAGATGTGGCCGCGGTCGAAGCTCCTGCCGTGGTCGTTTTGGAACAGACTGGTCAGCAGCAACAAGAGCAGCAGCAAGTGCCAGACTGCTGTCAGATGGCGATGGCGGAGGGTGGTGATTGCGCGAAATGCGGCGAGCCGCGCTCGTTGAACGAAGGGCTGGTGGAGGAACTGAATCTGGTATTCGAGCGACGTCTTCGGATTGTCGAGCAGCACGGGAACGACATGAATTACAAGGTGAGTACCGACTGAAGCGTGGCATGCATGGATGGGGAGGCCTTGTAGCATCCAAGGTCGCTGGAGCGCGACGAGACGCAACAGGTGGCATGTGTACACCGTTGCTGCGTTGTCGTCGGTTCGCGCGAAGGACCTTGAACGTCGGATGTAATAACAATAATAATAACAATTAAAAGGCAACCGTAAACAGATTTTTGTAATACTGTTGGATCTCATTTCCACTCACTGGTCCGGTGTTTTACATTATGATTCCGAGCAATAATGATTTATATTTTCAGATTGCCCTGTACGAAGACTGGGTCAAACAGCTGAGGCTGGTCAATTTGGATTTGGTGGGAGCGATAAAAGAAATGCAGGATACCTGCAGCGATCGTTTGGAATTGATGAGGGCCAACTATAAGAAAAATTTGGCTCGTTTTGGACCAGAGACATTGCGGCGGTTAGAATGCGATAAAGATAGCCTGTTAGAGGTGATACGGCGAGCGTCCGCCACTGGAAAGTGGGATATGAATGGTATAAAGCTCTGCGATATTAGTTTGGATCAACTTTTCGGTAAGAATAATGACATCAGAGGCGAAGCTCCTGCCGCGGGACCTACCATCTCGGTGAATTTGGAAGTTTCATCCAACTGTCAACTAGAAAACACCAAAGTGGAAGAGTTGCTACAAGAGCTGGAAGCTAAGGAAAGGTAACTACAATTAGTGATTTTTATTTAAGATGCCCTACATACCCTACAAACGGGTTTCAATTTTAGACAAATCAAACACTTGGAGTATTTACTAAAGCAGCAATTACCTGTGATTCATGGTAGTCCCAATGATACGGAATCCGACTTCCGTCCTGAGGACTGTGATACTATTAACGAACCCCTAATGAATCAACTGAGGCAGCTTATCAATAGAAAGAATCAAGAGTTGCAACAACAATCCGCTCAAATACACGAGCTTTGCACAGAACTTACAAGTCTTAAAAGTAAAATAGAGGAAAACGATCTGTCTTCACAGGTAAGGATCATATCGCTTTAAAAACGACTAATACTCAGAGCCATTTTTCCCGTAGTTCGACTCGGACCTGTCACAATCGTTGGCCGAGTTTAAAATCGAAGATTCGGATGCATCGAATAGGAAACTGTTGCAGCAGCTGCAAAATTTGTCCCGCTTTAAATCGGAACAGCTAGAAGCCGTCAATCGGGAGAACGAGGAACTTCGAAAGGACGTCAAATCCCTGCAAGCCAAGGTGTCCAAACAGGTAAGTGATGTTCGTTTTGCGATTGTCCTCCCAAAAAGTGTTTGTTCATTTCTACAATCCAAACAATCACCCGAATGTGCAACGTGTGCAACGCAGTCAAATCGCGATAACGAGTCACTGATCAATGAAATCAATGATCATCACGACAAAAACTGTCGACTGGAGAAGCAGCTTCGTGACGTTGAGCTGCTGCTACGGGAGGCCAATTTGGCCGTAGCCCATCGGCAGAAAGTGATCGACACCCTGCGGCGGGATAAAGTCGGACTGAAAAAGGTATCGTGTTGTTCTTTGTTTGTGGTGTTGGTTTCAATCTCGTTTGTTTGTTATCCCGAGTTACTAAAACAAAACAAAAAGAACCTTTTACTAACCGGGGGTTTTCTGTGTAATCTGTGTAGCTACTGAAGGCCTCCCGGCTGTTCATGGATAAGCATGACAGTGGTGATACGGAAAGTGTCTCCAGTAGAAAGGAAAGCGATTCCGCATCGTGCGTCAGTATGCCGGGCAAGAAACGGTCAACAAGCAAAAAGGAAGCCATCGGTGATCAATGATTTTGTGGTGCTGTTACTTATTTTGAAAAATATATTTTTCTTGTTTAAATTGTGGTTCATACTGTCTGTGGTACCTATATACTATTTTCGGGAAAGTTATGCTTCTTGATGTTACTTATACAGGAAAAATATGAAAGGTTAAATTTATAGCCAAATTGATGAGAAGATTGGATGTCTGAAAAATATACCAGACCCGTTAAGAGTACAGCTCTTCAGTTAAATTATGGACGACTATCACCAAAAACTTAAAAAAGCTGGTCCAATGCAGTGAATTTTGACGGAAACTTGCTGTGTCATAGCATAGACACGCATTTTGCAGGTTTGATATTATGTCAGTTAACATAAACTTATGTCAAAGTTAACCTAACTGATGTTGAGGACTTGTAAAAAATCGTCATCTTCTCTTGTGAATTTATTTAATGAAATTGAAGTAACATTTATGCTGGTTCTTATGCAGGGTGTCTAGCAATAAGCTTGAAATGCCATGTAGTAGTATTACAAATGGTATTTTTAAGCAATGAAAACAGTTTTCTATTTGTAGCGGACTAGTAATTGAAGTAGCGTGGATTTCACTGATCATATTTTGAAAATCTTGTAACATCCCTGGATATCCAGCCAGCCTCGAAGCAATACAATCATGAAGAAGGTACTCGCACTCTTGGCTTACTACGAAGAAATCCAAAGCAACATGTTTTGCCCGCCAGCTAGTGGCAAACGGTTGAAGCGAAAATTAATGCCACCTTGATGATGAACACAGATCTTGTGATCTGAATACGAGTTGACTATAGTCGCTATATTCATAGTCTGGCGGATAGAATTTCGATTTATCATAAAGAGGAACCAATTCAATATATTGTATACCATTTATTGAAAGGTACTATCAACTTTTATAAACAAAACGTTGATTATTCTTTCCTCGCCAATCGAACGCAAATTACTTGCATTATCGGATAGGGCAAACCCCCAAAGATGGTATTAATTTGCGTTGGCGAGTCTTGAGTCACGAGAAAAGGGGTTCCGAAGTTTTGTTCGCAATAACTGATGTGCTCTTTTCTGTTGTTGGTCTTGATTTGCTCGAATTTGGTCGAGATTTTATCCGCTAGACTACACTGCAAATAAAAATCAAGTGATTGCCACGTAACTTTTACCGGGTCTACAGATGATATTCAAATTGGCAACACTTAAAAGTTACGTGAATTTTCAAGTAAGTTTTACAGGGTTTTACAGTTATGTTTAAGTGAATGTATGGTAAATTTCGATTTATTTTTTCATGAAGTCTACGAAGCCAATTATTTTGGTAACACATTTATTTTCAAAGTGTTTTATTAAAATAAAATTTGTCTTCAATTGATGCACCACCTATTTCATGATTTCACTAGATCTACTGCCTGTTTTTTCCTCATCCTGAGGTAGAACTGCTTCTAGAAAGACTCACATGTTTTACTTTAGGAAAGGGGTTCAATTGCTTGGAGCTCTGTATTTTCATTAAGATCGCTGATTTCTGTATAAGAGAATCGAAAGCGAAAATTGATCATCGTTCTATTTTTTTCTTTAAATGTAAATATTTGATTCTCACCATTTATTTTAGCCAGGAACTGATGATCTGGAAGCTTGCAATAATCCCCCGTTTACTGGAATAATCTTGTAGCTCGAATCGAATGTTAAAAAGTGGACTGTTTGGCAAACCCAGATCTTCCAACAATGGGGAATGCCAATACTTTCTTCTGTCACCATCTTGAAAGTTACGTACAGAACATTTTCACACAATGAGATCACGGAAAATTTACGTGAATTTCATATAACCTTCACCAGCATGACACATGGACTCGACCAGTAAATCCAGTTAATTTCATTAACATGTCGTTGAATTTTACGTTTAGCATGTAAATTTTATTAGATTCTTGTTTTTAAGAATTCACCTGAATTAGCAGGTAAAATTTACGTTTGCTATTCGTTCAGTGATGAATATAGCGACTATAGAGTTGGCTGGGTCTGGTACGTTTGTCATAATGGCAGTTTCCGTAAGGACGTGTGGCATAATGGACACTTGGCATAATGAACTTTTGGCATAACGAATATTTAGCGCAAATAATCGCTGTGATTCGACATATTTTTGAAACCAAGAGTTAATTTTAATTGCTACTAGGTCTTTTACAAAATTCAATTGTTTTTCCATGGTATTTAAGAATTTGGTAGAACTGCTTACGTTTGAAAGAAGGAAACATTTGCTGCAACAATATTAGGCAAAGCTCATACCTACCTACACATATTCTAAGCGCTCACGTACAATGCATGAATATTTAGAGAAGGAAGTATTTTACGCGTGATATTGGAGCAAAATATCATGCTTGATATTGATTTTACAACCTTCTTTCGTATTGCGAGAGTTGAAGCTGAGAGTTGAAACGACGCAAACATGATTCCGTTGCACCTCGTTTTCTCTTCACCGATGGCATACACTCAAAAAATTTATCATATATCTAATGGATGAAAACCATGTGAATTTCACAGAGCTTTCATAGCTAAAAATCTCACCACAAAATCACATGAATATTATGAGGCCGATGAAATTCACATGAAAAATCATATAAAATTAACGTGATAAATGTTATGTGGAATTCAGATGAATTCCATTAATTTTGTTTATGGATGAAAATCATTTGGGATTCCACCGGAAGCTACATGAAAACTATTTTCGGTGTATACGAAGTAACTGCTGCCAGCCATTATGGAAGTTTCGGTATAGCATTCGGGTGTAAAGTAAAAATCATTAAACTCAATCTCACCACAGTTTGGTGAGATTTGCAGCTGGTGAGTTTTGTTATGTCGTTTTCGTTTTTGCTACACTACACCGGTGTAGTGTAAGCAGCAAAAAGCGTGATTCATTGACAGCTCATCATCTTTGTTTGTAAACAAAGGTGCAACCGATAGCTACACCCTGAATTTTTTCGGTGTTCGGCGGTGTAGCACCGGAGTAGCTACACCGCAAAAACGAAAACGACATTAGCTTGATGTTCCGAGCTGCGATATCACAGCTTGCAATATCAACCGCAGTTATTTGCTTGCTGAGCACCAATGCTACCCACGCCAGGGAGGTAGCTCCCACACCTGGACCCTACCTAACGATCCATCAACTCATGAACCGGGGATCAACTTCCCTTCCGAAGGAAGGCGTGATCAGAGATGTTATGTCTCAGAACATCCCGGCGGCGCCGACTGAGATTGAACCCAGGCCTGCTGAAGTGAGAGGTAATCACGTTTACCACTACACCACCGGCGCCACTAGGCTAGTCAAGTAGTGAGAAAATTTAAAATCGTTAGTTTCCACCAGTTTGTATTAGTGCATTCCTTTTGAAATAGTCGAAACACATTCAACCTAGCCGAGCTTGTTTACCAGTTCAATGTGTTTAAGAGGATCAAACAAATAGTCGAGATCCGATACTGGATGCCAGTATAAGGTCTTAGATACCAAAAATTGTCTGTAACTGTTTCATTTTACGTTGTATCCGCATTGTTTATTAAGGATATGTATAGGTTATGATCAGTGTTCGGAAAATCATTATTGAGTTCTCCCGACAGAATAATGCATGCAAATCTGGCACACAAATCTCACGCTTGAGATTGTCATGCATTTTGACTTTCAACGCCAAAAAATAATTGTAGCTTAAAACACATAAAAACCGCTCAAACGACTATTGATTATGCATATTTTGCTAGATTTTCATCCAAGGATACAAAACCAACACTAATTGGTAATAGGTAAATAAGACCGAAATATAAAGCAATGAATTTTTGAACCTGAAATCTCATCAGTGATGTTTGTGCAATTGAATTTTGCAATTCAAAACTCATAGGCAAATAATCCCAAGCGTGAGATTTGAGTTTTTGATATTATCCAAACACTGATTATGATCCAACCAACATTATGCATCTAGCGGCGCCGATGGTGTAGTGGTAAGTGTGATTACCTCTCACCCCCAGCAGGCCTGGGTTCAATCCCAGTCGGCGCCGCCGGGATGTTCTGAGGCATAACATCTCTGATCCCGCCTTCCTTCGGAAGGGAAGTACAGCCGTTGGTCCCCGGTTTGGATGTTTCTCAATAACGGCTACCACCTTCTGGTTCATTTGTCGAGAGCATACATTTTGATTTGTTCCGCTTCCAACCTTCCGATCCACAGTTATGCGCTGGTCAAACGATTGGCACACACTAATCACGGTAATATTTGGCAATTTTAGCTTTTTGGCGAGATCGCGTACCGACAACGTTGGATTTTGCTGCCGTTCGTACAAAATGTGGTTGCGTACTTCCACTTGATTCAATGCCATTTTACCAAACTGAACAGAAATGTAAACATGTTGTACAGCGAAATAAAGTGGAGAGCTTCAGCTGTCATATAAGTGAAATGTTTCAGCGGTTCGAGAAATATTTCAAAAACTACAATGAAAGAAAAGTGTCCGAAATTTAACGTGGAGAGACTGTAAAATCACAGTCGTAGAATCTTGAAAATTTCAATATGTACGTACCCATAATCTTGAAGATTTGGTCTGTATCGAAATGCTTTGCTGGAACTATTTTTTTAAATTCAAATATATTTTTTTATGACAATCTTTACTATCTAATATTTCGGCTGTGACCAAAATAGGTCCATTAACGTTGGCCTTTGAAAAACTTCATGTTTCTGCAACTCAAGCAAATTTAGAGGTTTGGAAGCTTTTAAAAAAATAAATTATTGAGGAATTTTCAAGAATCTTGAACTTTTTATTATTTTTGCTGAATTATAGAGCTGTGAGTTGTGGAATTAAATGGAAAATAAGCCCCTTTTTTATTCCCAATTCATAACTCTCATAGAAATATTTTCTTGACATGAGTAACAAGATCTTGATCTCGGACTTTAGCCATAGAGGTAACTATAAGACTAGAAGGTCCCGAAATAACGTGCTCAACTTTTTGGCTCAGCTCTGGTACTCTCTTCGGTCCCAAGCTAATCGATTCACCCCTCGAAACATAGGAAAATCCACTAACCCCTAATTTTATCTGTCAAACTTTCATAGCGAATCAAAACAAACATTGTGTAGTACTAGAATTTCGACTAGAATGGGGTACGTTAATCGTTTGCTTGGGACCAATAGGCTAGTCAAGTAGTGAGCCAATTTAAAATCGTTAGTTTCGTATTGATTGTTGCTTTAGCACTAGTGTGCGCAGCGTAAAAGTGGGAGCAGAAGGGGGTCATAATGATATTTTTTTCAGAACAATGTTTATTTGGTCCCATTTGAGGACACAAACAACTGTGCAAAATTTGGCGACGATTGGTTGTAGTCCGGCATTCCGCGTTGCATTTGAAATTTGTACCCCGGCAGTGTGGGCAGAAAAAGTGATTTTTGGCATTTTATTCAAACCATACATATTTGAACAGTAATATGTTCTTTTTTAGAGACACGCTAGCACCGTACTTCCTTCGGCAAAGTTGTTAGTCACATCGTGGAATATAATTGTACATGGTTAGTTGCATGGTGGTGGTATCTAGAGTCGGTGTATAATGAGTCACGCCAAGAGTGAAGCCAAGTCTACCTAATGAACTGTCAAACCGGCTACCTATCGTGCAAAGTAAACAAACATTACGATGCTATGATAGCCCTAATAAAAATGTTATGGTTAATTTGCTTAACGACTTGTTCAAGGTATCATCCAAACCATTTGTGGAATAGTTCAATGATTTGGGTTATCGTTCGTTTATGGTAATTTTTTATTAGGGAGGTTCACGAAAGGTATTGCAATAAAATATAAAATATAATCGAAGAAATGATCATAAACACGCAGTGAGCATTAAATTGTCATGGGATACTTTTGGTAATGATCAGTAATGAGAATTGCTACTATTTTTTTGTTAAGATAATTTGACAAAATCACTGATATAATGATTTATTACAGCCGCTATTTTTTTTTCTCTCGCTAGAAGTCATTTGAAGTTGATGTAAAAGTCCTCTGTTGCCAAGTGAAAATAAAGGGAATCTTTCGAAAACCGTGATGCGAGTTCAACTGTTTTTCTCTTGGCGTGACTCATTATACACCGACTCTAGTGGTATCTAGCGATGAAAATGCAAACAAGTAGGTTTTCCCATACAAATTTCAATTGCAACGCGGTGGTCTGCTGCCATCCACGAGCGCTGATGCTGCATGCATCGACGTAGGTATCCTGCCTTTCCGCTTCCGTATAACCGTGGCTATCGCAACCAAAGCCGCTGCTTTCATCTTGAAGACATCCGGAAATCAAGGGATCTTCCTCCTCGACGAGAGGAACAGACTCCTCCGCTCGGCTGCCAACGAAGATCTCCCCCCAGTTGCCAGGGTCCACTGGCATGGAGACAAATGCTGGTAAACACCATTACCGAACATCGAAAGCCGGATTAAGGACTGGTTCAAAGCCGGAGACAATTCCGTGGCCATGAAAAGGACTTTAGCTGAAATGTTAGGAGAAAAATACCCCACGCACACTCACCGATACACGGACGGATCTCGCTCTCGGGCCGGGGTTGGTATCGGTCTAGCCGGAAACCAACCAGCTGCAGATTACCGCCGCAATGTTCTGTCTTCTCTGCTGAAGCTGCTGCCATCTTCATCGCTGCTACAACGCTCTCCAACCGACCGATCCTGGTCCTCACGGATTCGCACAGCGTCATACAAGCCCTGACATCCGAGCCCACGACTGATCCCCGCCACCAAACACGGTATTCTACTGGGTTCCGGGGCACTGCGGAATACCAGGCAACTCTGAAGCTGACTTTCTGGCTGGGGCAGGACCATCTGCCCCTCGCTATACTAACGAAGAACCGTTACACGATGTCAAGCGCTGGATCGTGAGCAAAGTACGGGAAGCTTGGGACGCAGAGTGGGACTTGCGTCGGTTGTAGAACTCCAGTCTCAATCGAGCACATTCTATGCGTATGCCCTCAGTATCAGAACTTGCGGGAATTCCACGGGCTTCCAAATAGCATATGCGACATGGAGGCGACCCCGGCGTAGTGGTTAACATCCATACATCTCACGCCAAAGTCACGAGTTCAAATCTCACCCCCGGACAAGTCACGAATGACCCAAGAGTGACTATAATTAAAAAAAAAATATATATATGCATATACTGGGTGATAATCCCTCCACACTGGCAGCAGTAATGCGTTTTTCAAAGGATGCTGCATTGTATTTTAAAACATAGTCTTTTTTAATTCCTTTCGGCTGTTGGGACATCTCTGCCTGGTGGGGGCCCTCCCGGTTCTCCCGGTGTGGAGCTCTGTTTTATTCAGATTTTAATGTTGTGTCTTTACTATGTTGCGTAAATGAACGATCGAGCCAGGAACCAAATTTCGGTTGAAGTAAACACTGTAAAAAACTACTCTGTTGGGGGTCCTCCTTCTGAGGCCCCACCTTTCATGGACGAGATGAAATGCCAATCGTCGCCAAATTTCGCTCAGTTGTTTAGTACCCCCAAGTGGAACCAAAAGAGGGTTGTTCTCGCTAGATGAGGTCAAGATTGCGTTTTTCCATATAACGGTGATGTGCTCCAAAGGCCCAAAAACAGCTATCAAAGGAACAAAATTACTAACGGGATCAGTATTCATAAACAGTTGTTTGCCACCCCTACTGTGCATGATAGTGGACTTTAAATAACAAGACTCATGTTTAATTTGACTATCCCTTGGGGTTCCTGTTCGTTCGGCACACATGCAAAACTAGAGCAGAACCATTAAAGATAATAGCATTAAACCTACGTGTTCAGCACCAAAATGGATCGTTCATTGCTCTACGTTACGTAGGGATAGATTTAAGCAGCACTTGGTTTTGGTGTTATATTTAAACTTTATGTCTACACTTGTTTGATTCAAGCCCCGTTTAAAACAAAATCAGTAATATCATACTTATTCGCGAACAGTCCCTCGCGTTGGCAGCGGTAACGGGACCGGCCTCCATACTGCACAAATCCGTATCGAATCCCAGCTTCGATACCGCTTCGATATGCTCGTCCGAATCGACTATCTCGTTCAGCAGTGTCAACTCCGATTCGTCTTCTGGAACGGTAAAGGCGCTAAAATCTGGCCTAGGTAGCGAGCAGGAAGCAGAACAAATTCAGCGCCTCAAATGTGAACTGGCCACCATGAGCGAACAGTTGCAACTGTTTCAGCAGACCAAACATGCCCAAGACGATATCATTGCCGAGCAGTGTACCCGGCTGGATGCCAGCGAAGCCGAACTGAAAATTTTGGTAATGGGAGTTTGGGTGGGTCATAAGAGGAATTAGGGTTGCTAATTTGAGGTTCTATTACAGCGTAACGACTATGAAAACAACGAAAGGAAGCTGTTTTACATTCGAGCAGAAATGATGAGACTGATTGAGGAAATCGTCAAACATTTGAAGGGGCACCTAAAGCTACCGTCCACTGTTCAAAGCATAGAGGCATTTGTGTCCCAACCAGTAATTGGGAATAATTCGACCGAAGAAGAGTGTGGTAAGGATGCAGCTATTCTTGAACGCCTGAAACAATACTTGGATGCTATTGTGAAAAGCTACATTGTAGTGACGAAGGAGCGTAATGATTTATGTAAAATGGTGGATTTAATGCAAGAGCAAATCAATGGTACGGAGGTTTCCCCTTTAAATAGATTTAATTTTATAAGTTTGTATAGTATTTCCGTTTCAGCTTTGCAACGAGAAAAAGAGCAGCGCGAATGTCTCATTGATCAGCTTCAAGATTCTCGGCATGCGACGGAAAGGCAGCCATCGGTCGAAACCAAGGAGAAAGAAACTTCAATAGATTCCGACATCATGCCTGTACCGGTAGACGTATGAGTCATCCCGAAAAAAAAAACAATTTCTACGATCATTAAACCATTGCATCTGTTTCTTTTGTTTTTACTTATCGTTTCAGACCAGAGAAACACTTGCCGCCCAGCGGATGCGAGTGCAGACAGTTCTGCATGATATGGCAATGGAAATCGCCTGCCTGGTACAGTATTAGTTGTTTACTCACTTTTCCCTCTCAATTCGGCTTAAGTAGTTGCTCTCGAATCTGTTTATCCCAAATTTATCACAAGCGTAAACTATCTGTTGGATTCTGTGATCGGTTTGTACATAAATAAACATTATCTGTACGGTTTCCCTCCAAACTGCTGCTGTACTTTCGTTCGGCCGGTCGAGAACGACATCAGTCAGAGGACGCGGGATGGGACGCTCGCACGCGATGTGAGATCTAACTAACCCACTTTAAGCGGTTTTTCTATGTCTAATTATAGCAACTGTTCAAGCTGCATATGTCTCTCCGAGGGGGATATCCTACCTATAGAATAAAGTGGTGCATTTTCTCCATGTTGTGTCCATTCTGACATGCGTTGCGTACACACTGGCGCGTTTCTATTTTCGGACAATTTACTACTTCGCATAGTGCTTCAAATTGACGAGCTCTGGTAGACTGTTTGGAATGCATGTACTTCCGTCATTCTGCCTATCACCTATTTGAATGTTTAAGTCCATCAGTCGAAGTGGTCAATTACCGTTAAATTTTATCTAAACTCTTCCTTATTTCTCCAAAGTACTAACTCGTTGTCAATCATTTTTAACCGCGCCAAAAGTCCGACACTCATCGAGTCTTCACACATATTCTAAGCCACGATGTCAATCTATTTTGAGAAATTCTAAAATCTTGCTTCTCTCCCTGGTGCATCACATAATGTAGAATTTAGAAAGAGAGCTGCCCTGTCGAAACAAATTAAATTCGGTTTATTTATTTCCATTTTTGTTCGTTTTTTTTTAAACATACACACAAACACATAAAATTAACTGCCATGAAACGATAGACCATGCAGTAAAGTTTTGACTTCGGTTTTTTTGACGAATGATTCCTTTTTTGAAACCATCAAACGAGAGGTCATCACAAGTCGGATGGATGTACCTAAGGGGGTTTCTTTCGCCGAAGTTTGGGCGATGCAGTTGCCATATGTCTGGCGCGTGTCTCCCAGTTTCCTCATGTTGAGTAGCATCAGTAGAACGAGAGATGGAAAACGCAGGTTTTCTAAAATAAATACGATTTGCTTGGCGCTTGCCACCCGATGGCGGTGTTTCAAGAGTGTGATTTTATTGATGGAAATGTGGTGTTGTTTAAATCAATTTGAATGAACAAGTGGTTTGTGAGAATGCTTTATTTTTTTTCAATCCAGCATGAAATTTTAGAAGTTTTCCAAACATGTCCAGTAGTCAGAATCTTAGGGGCCTAACTACTTTCGCTGATCAAAAATATCGATCCACATTTTTCTCTAACTACCGTGACCATATAATCTTCTTTCAAAAAATATATGCCAATAAGACGCGATGACAAAAAACATTACGAATAATTAATAAATCCCGGAAATGTCGATGATCATTCATAATTGCTGTTAAAGTTTTAGAGCTTTTATTGTTTATTGAAAAATTCAACTGACAATTGTTGTCTAAATGAATAAAACTTAAGGCCCAAACGCAATGTGGACGGAAGCGGAACGGAAACGGAAAGTTTGACAGTTGTCACAAATGACATCAAGAAGCCTAACCGATGTCGATTTGGTTCTAACTAGTTTTCAATCGGACAAGTAGGCTTACTCAGATCGGGCTTTTCCGCTGCCGCTGCCGTTCCGCTTCCGCTGTCATTGCGCTTGGGCCTTTAAACTAAATAGTTACGGTCAACGGTACGGAAAAGTCCAAGTAGCCGATGACGAAACACGTCAGCTGATACATTGAAGTCGAACATATAAAAAAAAAATTGTTGAATTGCCGGCTGATTGCTCGAATTGGCTCGTGTTGTGTATAATTCCGGCTACGTGGTTCCAAAAACAGAAAGTCGCGTTGACGAAGAGACCTCTCAGGGGCATACATATTTAGCTGTGACAGCAGTGTTGGACAGTCAATGTCACCCGTAAGCAGCTTTCCAGCAAACATAGCTTGAGCGACCGTCCACCTCACCTCCAATGGCTCGATTCTAAGGAGAAGGCAATGCTCCTCGTACGGTGGCAAGTTCGTTGGGTCACGCCAGTTGAGGAAACGAAGAGCATATCTCACAAACTTGCGTTGAACGGATTCAATTCTAGTGATCCAGCTAGCATGGAAAGGGCACCAAACAACTCAACTTGACTCCTATAAGGATCGCATAAGCGAGCAGTAAAGTGACCTGAGGCATAGCGGATCACGAAATTCGTCGGCAATTTTGAAAATAAAGCCCAATTGTCGATTAGCTCTGGAGATGATGTAATTGTAGTGGATTCTGAAAGTGAGTCTGCAGTCAAAGGTAACGCCGAGATCCTTTATGCGCTCTACACGAGCAAGACAGCGTCCGTAGAAAACATACACTGAGAAAATAATTCGTTGGAATTTCATACGAAATGTTTATGGAATTTAACCAAAAGAATTTATTTTGAATTTCATACGATAGAAATATGAACGCGCACCTTTGTTAACATTTATGTTTTTTGCAGTAGACACATATGGATTTCATAAATGTGTCGTATGAAAATGATACGTTATGAGCAGGCTTGCTTCCACTCACTTGCTATAAAAACATGATTTTCTGAATTTTGAAATCATTAGATGTTATAACCAAATTTTGTACTTGTTAGATACAAGAAAAGGTAGAAAGGCAAGTGTTTGACACACGAAACCTGTCAAATTTGCTTTCAGATAGTCACAATCAGCGATTTTACGACTCGCGAGCGCTCACTCTGAGTGAACGCTCACGAATCATAAGATCGCTGATTGTAACACTCCGGTAGCGAAATTGACAGTTTTTTTGAGTCAAACACTTGCCCTTCAACCTCTTCTTGTATCCAACAAGTACAAATTATCATTATAACATCTAATGATTTCAAAATTTAGGAAATCATTTTTTTATAGCAAGTGAGTGCAAGCAACCCTGGTTATGAGTATGAAATTTACGTTTCATTCGTATGAATTAGAAACGAGAGGAATACGAAAAGCAATCGAATCAACTATGAAATTCATTGTAGCTATTTGTAGTTTTTTTTTCTTGCAAATTAATTATATACATGTAATCATAAATTCATATTTATTTTTTAAACAAAGAAAAATTTGAGTTTGCGTTGCATTTGAGTTTTTGTATTATAAACAACATCACTCAAAAATTACCTTTAAAATTTTAAGTGCCGGGACTACAATCTGCCTGGCTATTGATGCCACTGGTTCCAACTTTAACTCAGTTATGTCCGTTATCGCAACAGCATTGCAGTAACCGCAGTATTTTGATGTTAGGCAGATTCTGTGGACACATTGATAGTAAATATTTGAAATAATCTTTACATTACCTTCTTACGTTTTGTTCTAGTCATTATGCAATTCACGTCCATATCAATTCGCTCTTCAGGATCTACCAGTACGCGATAATGGTTGTTATTAAAGCCATACACTCTATAATTTTAAATATGTAGGTAGGATCCGGAAAATTATTTAGAATTCAGCGTTTTTACCTCTCAATACAGTTCAAGTTTCCGCCGGAAATTTAGCATACGTTAGTAATTCCGGTTCATACGCCATCTTGTTTTGTTTTGAACAGCGTTTCTTACGAACGACGTATGAGTTTTGCCACACAAGATCAACTCATAAAGTTCATTGCAGCTTCGTATGAAATTTAGACTCATTTCGTATGGGAATCATTTTTGAGTCATGTAATTTTCATACGCATGTTATGAAACTATTTCCAGAGCTCAAAATGCTTGTTCATACGAAACATATTATGAAAATCGTAATTCTAGTTTCCTCAGTGTAGTCAAACATGATTGGTTCGATTTTTCGGTGATAGGAAATAATGTTACATTTTTCTATGCTTAGACTCATCAAATTTCTTGAGCACCAGTCAGCAAAAATACCTAACATATCCTGGAATAATATTGTAGATTTTCGTATCGTCTGCATAGAAAACGCGGCATCCTGATGGTCAGGAAGGCGACGTCGTTTAAAAAGATCGAAAATAGTAGCGGTCCTTGGTTACTGCCTTGCGGAACTCCCGAGTTGTTTGAGAAAACATCCGATTCCGATGCGCCAATCTTGACATGTTCATAGAGATTCACCAAGTAAGATCTGAACCAATCCACAGCAGTTGACGAGATGCCAAGTATCTCCAGCTTGGCCAGCAAGATATTATGGTCCACCGTGTCAAATTCAGCTTTTAGATCCATATACGCAGCATCAACTTGCCATTGTGAATCCATGCATCGCAGACAGTTAGAAGTGAACTGCACCAGGTTCGTGGACACGGAGCGCTTCGGGTAGAAACCGTGTTGTTCTGTATCGATATATTTTTTGCAGCATGCGAACAGAGCACCATTTATGATAATCTCGAACAGTTTTGAGCAGGCACACAGGGAGGTGATTCCACGATAATTTATGACATTCCGTTTATCTCCTTTTTTGTACACTGGGAACAGATAAGAAAGTTTCCAGCGGCAGGGGAACTCACATTGCTGTGTCGAGATATTGAATAGCCTCGCAGAGATTGGCTACACAACGTTTTAGAACTGATGACGGAATGCCGTCAGGTCCGGCGGCGAATGAGAGCTTCAGTTTGCGTGTTGCGGCTATCACCATGTCTTCTGAAATGCGCGGAATAACGAAACTAAACACATCACGTGGCATCCCAACAGTACCGTCCAGCACTTGTGTTGGCAAAGCCGAGAAATCGTGGAACACTTGCTTGAAATGACGAGCAAACAAATCGCATTTTTGTCTTTCGCTATTAGCCGCAGTGCTGCAAAATCTCGACAGTACACGGTGATATTGACAATTCTGCTTTGGTCACTCATTTGAGCTAACAGTCATAGTCAAGGCAAACCATGTCAATTGTCAATGACAATGGTGTCAGTGACGAACATGTGCAGATTTGTTTATTAGCTAAATTTGTTACGAAATTAAACGACTTGAGCAAAACAATCACATGGATCCATTTTAGTGAACAAGTATCTACGTTCTGAGCTACTTGGATAACAATAATGTGACACAGAATGTACTAAATTACACTTTTTGTTACCAGGTGAATCTTTGTCATTGACGAAAAAATGAATGAGATTTTGACGAAGGTTTTTTTGAGGATCAAGTCTGTCAGTGACTATGTGACGAACAATTTTGTCAATATCGCGCGAAAGTCTGTCAATGACAATGACAAATCTCAGCACTGAAGCCGAGTCATTCCCGAGAAACATGGAACAAGGCAACCCGGATTCCTTCCGTTTGGAGTTGACAAACGACCAAAAACTTTTCGAATTCGTGCGAAGGTTCGCTTCCGTGCGTCTCACGTGTCGATTATAGACTCCTTTGGTTTGTTTTTTTCCGTCGATCTTGTTTTCCGTGCTGAGCACCAATGCTACCGACGTGCCAGGAAGGCAGCTCCCACACCTGGACCCTACCTATCGACCCATCAACTCATGAATCGGGGACCAACGGCTTTACTTCCCATCCGAAGGAAGGCGTGATCAGAGATGTTATGCATCAGAACATCCCGGCGGCGCCGACTGGGATTGAACCCAGGCCTTCTGGGGTGAGATGTAATCACGCTTACCACTACACCACCGGCGCCGTTGTGTCGATTATAGAGAAAACGATTGTAATTTCGATGACTACGACTCGCAAAATTGAACAGTCGTTTGTAGTACGGCGAGCGAGAGTTACAATAAATACTTTCGGAGGGCGGCAGAGCGTTGACGTTTTAGCGTGGCGTGGGTTCGACCATGCAGACTTTAGCGGAGGTCGTCGAGCTGGAACAATGCGGAGAATAGCATCTTCCAGAGCAGCACTGAAAAAATCCACAGCATCATTCACGCTAGCGGCTGTTTCGATAAATTGACAATCAATTTCCGCAAGCGCATTGTTCAATGCAACATAATCGGCCCGGCGAAAGTCCAAAGAGTAGCACTCTGATGACGGCGTAAAAAAAAAATCGGCGTAGGTAAACTAAATGACACGACGAGAGCGGGATGATCGGCATCTAGATCAATCAGTGGCTCGACTGGCAAGGAAACAGAAGTGCCCGGTAGTGCGGAATCAAAGTTGCGATGAGTAAATTCGGTCGTCCAGCCACGTTTCCGTCAGCACAATCAAATCATATTTGGCCTCCGCAACAGCCAGGAAAAACGAGTCGATTTTAGTCCTCAGCCCACGCACGTTTTGGTAGTAGATCCGGAGACCATTCGAGGAGCAATCACGGGAACAAGAAATCGAAAGGACATCAGGTACCGAAAGCTCGGAATCGCTAACATACTCGCCTGAGGTTGCAGGCCGGAAGCCCCCGATACCATCACCGGCCACAGGACCGGGACGATGACGATGGCGGATGTCTGCAGCAAGCGTGACTGGGTCGGTAGGTTCGGAAGCTTCCTCAGTGCCTGTTTTAGGGTGTCCCGGATCCGAGGAAGACCAGGTGGCGGCATAAACCTGCTGGCAGTTGGCAGGACGGATGCATGGACATGATGTGGCTAGTGTGGAGGTCGCAGAACCGGAAACACAGCTAGAAGTTGAAGCGGTATCAGGCAAAGGAGAGGCTGAATCGTCAATATACTTGCCAGTAATAGCTGATTGCATTTTTGAGTAGTAAAAATTTTACTTAGGAAGTTCAAGTGGTTCATGTGATCGGTCGCTGGTTCCAAAAACTGGGATTTTTATCAACTTAATCACTAAATGTGACCAGTGTTCCGTTTTCGCACCCTTCGGACCCTGCGTCAGTTGTGAATTGTTTATATATTTGAGAGCAGTTCTTATATTTTCACTTTCTTTGACTGTTTTTTAAGCTTGCAGTTCAAAGCTTTGAATAAGTAGAATCAATTATAATTATTGAATAGATGCTGTTTCTTTTGATATTTTGTTCAATTTCATTTAAAGTTGGAAACTCAGTTAGGAGAGCATTGATCCCCGTAGGATTAGACACACTTAATCCTGAGCTATGAGAGGAATAAAAATAAAACTCTGCTAAGAGAGACTTGAACCCCCGGAATTTGCACATGCTCCATCCCGGAATGTTAGTTAAAGTTAATATTAAGAAATAATAATATCATAAAAAGGGGATCAAAAGGGGATAAGTAACATTCTGATCGATATTGTCGAAGGACTAAAGGACTGTACTTAAAACTGGTAATACATATGTAGCATTAATTGTTAACAGTGAAAAGTTTTTGGAAAATTATTTTGGCAGGTTTTTATTTCCAGCCTCAAGTAGCCATCAATAGATTTCATTTAATTACTCAGCTTATTTCAAGAGAATGTGAAAAACAAAAGAAGTAAGAACTAAAGTGGATATTTTACAGTGTGTCAACTACCTGAAAAAAGTGGAAAATCAGGGAATCTCAGGGAATTCAATTTATGACCTAAAACTCAGGGAATCTCAGGGAATTTTCTTTAAGTTCAAGGAAATATTTCTCAATCCTTATTCATAACTGAATTATTGCCTATTATGATATCACCAATCATTTAATAATAAGATACAGATTTGAATGATTCAGAAAAGTTGTAGCTAATCATAAAAGCTACAAAAACTTCCTGCATCAGTTGATGAAAAAAGTTAAAGGGAAACGAATGTAAATGAATACACGAAATGAATGTAAATGATTTTCCATGCTTGATGATAAGACTGATATGCGATTTTGGGTAGTAATGTTAGCGGATTTCGTTGGTGCTCCACAATGTTATCAACATATATTCAGGTGTCCAGTCTTCGAAATGAAGTCGAATTAAAACGGGTTCTTACAATTTTAAACAAAAAACCCCAATGATGCTGGTATGGAAAAGATTTTACAATACGGTCCATTAATCTGCACATCGACACCGGACAGCGGGCTAGCTCTCTAGAAGGTAGGTTTGGGAGCTTTTCCGCTTTGCTCTCCACATTACAACAGCGTGCGTGTAGAGAGGAGGGAAAATCTCTTGGGAGATTACTGCCCCCATCGCCATCGCTTTCTGGATGGGTGCAGTTTAGTTTTCGTGTTTCGGTCGAATCGTGCGCGTCGTCGTGTTTTTAGTCGTTGATCGTTCACGACAATGTGTGAATATTTGAAGAAATAGAGGAATAGAGCAACTACTTACAATCGCCGGTGTATTGAGAGTTCAGATCTGTTCTGGACACAGTACAACAATGGGCATTTTCCAGATAGGAAAGAATTTGTCAAGCGATACCCTAAGCTCGTTTTCGGAGCTGGACGCAACCCCGTTGCACTGTTTGATAACGGATTTGAAGAAGGAGATCGAATCCAAGGATCAGGTTCTGATCGATCGGCGAGGCTACATCGAACAGTTGGAGCAGGAAGTTTTGGTATTAGAAAAAGAGCTGCATCGGCTCAAGTTGCGGCAAACATCCGTCGACAATGACCGGCTGAGTAATGAGAAGAGGGTAAGCATGGAAAGCACAGAGAATAATTTGTTGGTTGATTAAAACGAAATATGTTTGCTAATTCACGCAGATTGCAAATTTGCAACGGGCACTACAAGATCATGATGGAGCGATTGCCTCGCTCAAGCAGTACAACCTCGATCTCCAGCAACATCTGGAAGATATGAAAGACACTGTGAGTATATTCTATTTTTCGGTATTTCGGATCTATAAATAGATTTGGGAGAAATTTTATCTTTATGCCTTCCTGCACTTTTCGGAACGTTGTGTGAGATTTGTGTAGTTTTGTGTATAAATTCTCGAGTAATTATTTAATGAGCCATTTGGCTGAGTGATCGTTCCAGACCTATTGGCGCACTAATAAAACAGTAATTAATCTATCTGCGTTTATTTGTTGTTCTCGGGTCACCGACGCTGATGTGGATGGATGCTGTGATGGTGGATGGCGCAACAGCTGCAAACATACAAAGAAAGCATTCGACGTCTGGGCGACGAGAAGGCAAACATGGAGGACGAGGTAAGCGTGTGGTTTTTTCTTCTTCTTGATATTTCTTCTCTTCGCTGCTGCATTTTCACCGGTTCGTGGGTTTCAGATTTTCTTTCATGTGAAAATTGTGGCGCTCGGTCGCTTGTGATCATTTCTCGGTGACATTGTTACTGTCAATCTGTTTCGTTGCTCCCCCAACCGTTACATAGGTGAATTTCTATTACGACAGTTGTACATCAGATGATGGTCTGAAAGCGGAGGTTGGCACTTTTGTTCCGTTTTTGGTGACCATTTCACGCTGGTGGTTTTGAACCAAAAAAAAAAAAAAAAACAATGACAAATGGTTGTCGCAAATATTTGTGTTGAATGTGAATGATTTTCAATCTACTAGGAATGTGGTATTTTTTTTTCAAATAGGTAAATTTCCAACAGCAAACATTTTTTTTTTAAAAACTTATATTTTTTAAACGTTTTACAAGTTTTATACGCGTTTATCTATTCATGAAGATTTTGTTTGTCAGGAAACTTATTTCTCGATGAAAATTTCAAATGTTCCTATCTGCTTTTATCGATTCTCTTCATCGACTTTCTTTTTTCATAACCACTGCTATGCAAACAGATTTCGCGCTAATTCTACCACATAGTTTGATAAAGGAGGTTCTTATCTAGCGTTCAAAACGTCAAATACAACAGGGAAATGTTTTGCAGCTGAGTTATTGACGGAAGAGAAAGTCGATGAAGATAATCGATCAATGCAGATAGGAGCGTTTGAAATGTTTATCTAGATTTGATTTTATTTGATTTAAAATTGTGGGTATAATTTATGATATGCCCCTGGGATAAGTTTTATTTGCTTAATCCTTCAGTTTGTCCTAGATTAATTGTAATTGTTCCATCAGGATCAGAAAAAAAAACGCTATTTAGATGTTAAATATCCCATGGGAATTTACAAAGAAATCAAAATTATCTATGCATACTTAATTAAATTGTTGTGAGAATAATATTAACATTACAATGAATTCCGACTGAAGATAGATATAACGAGAACGGCCTTCGATGCTGCACAGTTCTTGATGAAAGAAGATAGAATACCTGGGCTTTCGATGCGTCAACCTTAGGGTGGCCACTCAAACGGAAATACCGGGAGAACCGGGAATTAACCGGGAATTGAATCGATCCGGGAACAATGTGTTTGTATATAAACTCCCGATCATAAGTTTAAGGACACCCAAAAAAAAAACATGACAAATGTTCATATCTCTGTCATGTTACGTCCAATTTTCGTTCTCTTTTGATCATTTGAAAGGTCCTCGTAGGCAAATTGTTCAACGTAATTTTCAAATTTTGTGTGCTAAAAGTTCACCCAAAGTTACAATATTTTTCAAAATTTACTCTGAAGAATCGTGACTGATTTGTTGGCCAAATTTTGAAATAAAAGTAGTAGTAGAACACTTATGCTATACCATTCATACCATTCAAATAACCTTTGGAGATCGAAAATTGAACGTAAAATGAGAGATCATTGAATAACACATATTTGCATGGTTTTTTGGGGGTGTCCTTAAACTTATGATCGGTAGTGTATATTTGACCAAATGCTATTAATTTGTGCTGGTACTTTTGTTCCTCTGTTTTATTTACTTTACTCACCCTGTGTATGCCAAATTATTTGTATTTAAAAGAGGTGAAACACTTAACAACTTAAGTTTCCTCAGGTGGGTTTACCGATCAGATTTAAAATAGGGTTCGATTCGTGTCGTGCGAATCAGACTTGTCATTTTAAAGAATTTACCTAGAGGGGAAACTTAAATCGTTTATTGTTAGTATGAAATACTAAAATTGTGTCCGGGATTTTGATTTTTTTTTTGTTTCAATCAACAAACAATTTTTAGATTTTTTTGAGGATATGCATGAAATTTTTTCAATAATTTCGTTTGAATCATCCCAACATGTCTGCAGAGTTACTTTCAGGGTTTTCCTGAATAATATTATGATTCTCTCTGGCATTTCCTTGAATGTACAGACAGTATCGTAAATTGCTACAGTTTAAGTAACATTGCATATAAGAATGGCATACATCACATTATGTTTATGTTAAATCGTATAGAATGCATATCTCCGAATTATATGCGATGAAACTTTTTTCCATCGTATTGTATCACAAATTAAATCGGAATACATCGTAAGACTTTATAAATTGAATTTGTTATTACCGATTACATTGTATATGTTGTTAAATCAACTCGTTTGAAAATAAATTATAATGTGCACGTATATGGCCTCCAATTTTGAACGTATAAGCCATTTTGTTTACATTCTATACGATTTGTTTGTTTGTATATATGCTTGTTTTTATACTGAAACAACTTTGAATATACGTGCATTCTGGTTGTCTGGGTACTTTAGGAATCCTCTCCAGAAAACTTAAAATTTACTCTACAATTATCGTAGTATTATCAATAATACCCGCGATAATGCGCTTAAATTTTACTCTATAATTCTCTTGAAAATGTATCCTTTGCAAATTTACGCTTGGAATATTCCTCAAAATTTCCTTGGAGTTCATCTTAGAAATCTAAACAGAATTATCATGGAATCCTCGTCAGGATTGTTTCATGAAATTTTCTTGAAATTCCGCTCAGCATTCCCAAAACATCCTACAAAACTTCATTTTAAATGCTTATCAGAATTCATGTGGGTTTCTTCTAAAGATGCCGTTGAGATTCTTATCAAAATTTGTCAGGAATTCCCTTGTAAACTACGTATTTTGATCTCGCGACTACAGGCTGCGTTCCTAATGATTTATTTATTTATTATGTTCATAACTAGAGCAATCAAAAGAGTACGAAAATAAAAATGGGTTTTAAAAACCTTGAACAAAAAGTGGCCGGTTTTAGCAGGAATTGGTCTACACAGAGCTGGTACCGAGTCACTTTTTAGTGATTTAGTCACTTTTTTTCAAACCAGTCACTAAAAAGTCGCTTTTGTTAAGGCCAAGTCACTGAAGTCACTTTTTATAGTAATAACTTTTTTAAATGTGAATTTATTTCAAGGTCATTCTTCTGAATAGGCCTACATTCTAAGTTGACAACCTTGTATAGAGTTTTTTTTTACGTTTAATCGTTCTTCGCTATCTACAGGGCGTCCACTCATTTGGCTAAATAAAGTTCACTGAGTTTTCCAGGTTTTTACATAACTTTGGCGGGTAATTTCCAGGTTTATAATAAGAATGCTATTTATGAAATGTGTTAAAAATATGTTTTTAACGCAAACTTTAACTCTGGTCTTTCTTCAATTGTCGAATAACTTAAACTTTTTTAAGAAGCAGCTTTACTATCAAATCCATTAAATATTGAAGTTGAACACTTACTTCATTTTAGTAAGTCTAAGATCACAACATTTTTAATGTCTTGACGTTTCGTACTAACAAAAATGAAAAGAATAGCAGAAACGCTAGATTTAGAGATCTTTGGGAAATTCCAGAGATCTTAAGGGAAGTCCCCGAAACTTTGACCCAGACTATTGAATTGGTTTTAAAATCTATAAGCGTGAGTTTAGAACAAATTTATCATAGTACCATGATGTGCTGCATTAAAATCGAGAACCTATTAGATGTTCCAAAAGATTCCGAAAGTAAAGAGACCTTCAGAAAATTTATGAAAACTTCAGAAATATTTCAGGAACTTCACAGAAATCCAGAGAATTCCAGGGAAGTTTAAAGGTGTTTACGAGAATTCCATTTATTTTAAAGCAGAACCGAGATCTTCATTAGAGTTTCTGTGGAAGCTCCGAGAACATCAAGACAGATCAGAGAATTAAAGGGCAGTTCAAAAAATTTCAAGGAAATTGCAGAAACCGGAATTTCCGGAGACTTCGGTTTGCTCAGAGAAACTTTCTGGTACGCAATACAAATTATATGAACTTCCGGAAAATGTGAGAGTATTTCAAGGATGGATATATCATGGAAATTTCAAGCTCTAAAAAAATTCGATAATTTAGCTAAGTTGATTAGAGAACATCAACGAAGTTCCATTAATTAAATAATAAAAAGGCGAGACCTTTTAGCAAGCACCGCTATTTTCAAGAAATTCCAACGAATTATGTGTTTATCTTTAAGAAATTTAGATATTTTTAGATTGTTACATTATATTCAGTGAAGTTCCGAGTACTTCGAAAGCGATCAGATAACATCAGAAAAATCACATTAACTTAAGGAAATTTGCAGCGGTTTGCAAGGAGTTCCCTTGAATTATGGGATATTCCGAGAATTCTATGATTGATCCGAAAACTTTAGAAGCTTCAGGGAATTATAAATATTATCATAAATTTACCAGAACATTTGATCAATTTAGAGAAATCAAGGTAAGCATAGAAAACTTCTTCCAGGGAAAATTAGGGCGTTTATAAACTTTATAAAACTTAAGAAAAATTGTAGAACCTAAAGGCAAGAACTTCATAAAAGTCGATGGAACTTAAGGGAAGATCCGAGAACTTCAGGATTCCCTGATACTTCCAGGTATTTTCAGGACAAATAAAATTCCCTGCGAATTCCCGGGTTTTCAGGTTTTTCAAGGTAGTACATAGTAGCTTGGAGGTTTAGTCATAAACTTTCTATTGAATCTTTCGCTTTAAAGGTTTCTATCGTACATATTTAAGTGTTTATGAGAATCTAATTGAATAAGTCTAAAACATCAAACATTTATTTGGTATGCCATCATAACGTCTAATTTTCTTCCCTTAGGTCACTTTTTAGTCACTTTTTTACGACTATAAGTCACTATTGGTCACTTATTTCTTCAACATGGTCACTAAAATCACTATTTTTGACAGCATTGATCGCTACCAGCCCTGTCTACAGAGATTTTTTAACAAATCATAACTCGAAAACGTCACTTTTAAACAAATGACATCTGAGATAAAGATGTAGCAAAAAAAAAAATCCTTTTCAAGTAAAATATACACGGTAAAAAAATTAAGTAATTCTAAATTTAAATTAAAAATAAAATGTTAAAACTAAAACAACGAAAAAT